TCAAATAACAGAAACCTTCATATGTATGTTTTATGGGACTTTCTCTTGTGGGTCCATCGATAGGAACAGTTTTTAATTATTAGATTTTATTAAAATTAAAATCATATTATAGTAAAAAAAAAAAAAAAATGCAGAAGACTGTTTCTGACTATTTGAGTTTTCTTTTTCTTTTTCTTGTTGCGTACGTAAAGGTTTGTGGCGAAGATACCAGAAGGAATGGTGCCAGAGCAGGCGGCGCCACTATTGTGCGCTGGGGTGACGGTGTACAGCCCGTTGAAGCACTTCGGGCTGACACAGAGCATGTTGAAAGGAGCAATTCTTGGGCTTGGAGGTGTTGGCCACATAGGGGTGAAGATAGCCAAGGCAATGGGACACCATGTCACTGTCATAAGCTCCTCCGACAAGAAGAAAGAGGAGGCTCTTGACCATCTCGGCGCCGATGACTACCTCGTCAGCTCCGATGCCGCCAAAATGCAAGAGGCTTTCGACTCCTTCGACTACATAATCGACACCGTGCCGGTTTTCCACCCTCTTGAGCCTTATCTCTCGCTATTGAAGCTTGATGGGAAGCTCATCTTGATGGGTGTTATCAACAAGCCTCTTCAATTTGTCACCCCCATGGTCATGCTTGGTAAGTAGATTAGATTTAAAATTCTTTTTTTTTTCCTTTTCTTTTCCTTTTCTTTTCATATTATATTAATTGCTTGTTTTGGATCAAAATCTCCGATTACTTAAATCAAATTGGTAACATTATCTAGGGTGACTATCTCCTAATTATTAGAAATTAGGAAAATGTTTACATCTCGACGAAGTTTGGTGGGGATGTGAAAGATATGGCAGGCCCCACAAAGGATGACTCATCAAGTGGGGCTCACCAATGTTTGACGTTCCGGTCCAACCCTACGTAATTCCACTGGGATATAGTAGTAGCATTGCTCCAGAAGTTATTGTGTAATTACAAGATGAGTTAGAGGAACACCACAGTTAGAGAATTTACATTTATCACTTTAAAGAAAGCATTTAAGTTTAATTTACAAACAAGTGACAGGACTAAATGACTTTTCAAAAGTGGTATTGAGCCTAATTATTCATAAATTGTACCTCTTAACATAAAAATATGTGGGTCCTATTATAATTCTACATTGGCCGGAGATATTGGTATGATCCACTTAATAAGGTGAGGGCAATCATCCCTTAACAAGTCGGTTTTGTTAGGTTGAGTTAGGCTCAATATCCTTTGATTTTTGTAAAATGTCATAAATTAGTCGTGTGAGTTTGGTTAAACTATTAACTAAAAATTGACATAAAATTACAATTTTAAAAGCTAGACGCAGAATACATGCTTAGTTAAAAATGAGTAGTGATAATTTAAAAAAAAAAAAAAAAAAGTGTAGTGGTGATCATTAATGATTAATTTGCTTATATTTTATTCAAGGGTGTAAGATTCAAATGGATAGTAATCTTTTTTCTTGATGGAATTGTGTGTGTATAGGGAGGAAGTCCATCACCGGGAGCTTCATAGGGAGCATGAAGGAGACAGAGGAGATGCTGGAGTTCTGCAAAGAGAAGGGATTAACTTCGATGATCGAAATCGTGAAGATGGATTATGTTAACAAAGCGATTGAGCGATTGGAGAAGAACGACGTTAGGTATAGGTTCGTTGTGGATGTCGCCGGAAGCAAGCTTGACGAGTGACCAAAAAACCAAAATGAAAAAAGAAGAGAAAAGGGAAAGTACTAATCAAGTTGAGTAACAAACAGTTTACATGCGTACAAAGTTGAAAAAGAGAGAAAAAGCTTTGTTTTCTTTTGTTCCAAGTTGCTTTGTTTGTTTAATATTTGGACAGTTCAATTATTGCGGTTTAATTATAAAATATGTGTTGCATTTGTGGTTTTGGTAGTGTGGTCACCAATCTATCACTTGGATTTGTCTGTCTCGTAATGAGAGTGAAAGGCCTCAAAATTTGGTCATGTCCAAAGGAAAAAAACCATGTTGCGCTCGTTGAGTGGATTTAATTTGGGTGAATTATGTGCGGTCTAAAGTCCATTCATTGAGAAATCCGAGGATGTGCTGTCGCATTCTTTAGTTAGTGTGGTGCCACTCATTGAAGGATTCTTGCTGTACTCCAATCTCTCACTGAAAAAATGCACCATATGAAATAAACCAAAAGGAACAGCCACAAACCACAATATAGGCATAGTTGATCTCTAATCTATTTAATAAGTGACACGTTGGTTTTCATTTACGAGTCCATATTAGTGAGCATATTCTAGTCTTTTCATAACAATCTGAGCTCAAGTAATGAGTCACTTACAGGAAATTATGACAAAATTAATGAAAATAGATAGAAAGGTTTTAATTATCAATGTTTAAATAGTTAGAAAATCGTTTTGTTAAAATTAAAAAAAATAGAAATGAAAGTAAAACCTACTAAAGGAATTTAGGACCACCAATGTCAATTATTCAATTGATTATCGTGAGGGCAAAAATGTGAAGCCGCAATTGTGTAGTTCGTTGTTTTTATATGATTATTGGAGTCCTTGTTTCTACCACCTAATGGCCTACCAAAGCATACATTTATGACTTTGTAAAACCGGAAATAATTAATTAGAAGTTGAAATGTCAAGAACATAAGAAGTTGAGACGACAAGTAACCATCAGCAGTAGTAAAGGAGGCGTCATTAGCACCAGAAATTGTTGTGGGAAAGTTTATCAGCAGTACTCGAATATGGACATCGACCTTTTAAGTTAAAAATAAAATGTGGTAGCAGATAATGGATAAATATATCTATCTGGTCCCCACCACCAAAGCTTTATTCTATATACGCATGTTCTGCAATAGCAGCTCCCCTTGTCCACTTAAGACTTCACCAACTCTTCTTAATATTCTAAACCTCACCAACAGCGCATGGATTTGAAAAGTACTCGCAACGTCTAGCCAAAAGGGGAATTATATATATATATATATATATGTATATGTGTGTGTGTGTGTGTGTGTATATATATATATATATATATATCCATGTCAGGTTTGTTATAGAAAACGATATATGCTCATCAACCCGTTGATATTGCGTAAAAGATCAAATTTCTTATTTGCAGAAATTTACACATGTACGATCTTAATTACATGCCACCTACTAAACAGCGACCAAATTATAGAGGATTCTTTATGACGTCTATTTTAATGATTTCATAATGTCCTAGCTATTATTTTGAAATTGTAAAAGAAAATTTTATATACAAATCAATTTTATAGTGTATATATATAAATCTTAGTTTTAGTAGATTTACTTTGCTTTCTTGGCTGATATCAATCATTTCATCAAATATTTGTTTGGCTCTAGTGAAAGGCGGGGGCTGGAAGTAGACATTGAGGGTGACTGCAAGACAATTCTTGATGCTTTTGCTCATGGTGATGACTGTATGTAATTTGTGTAAATTTCTGTTGAATTCCTAGAAGGTATAAGCAGGCTGCTCATTCTTTGTGTGTTTGAGCTTTTAGGAATAGATGCTCTGGGTTTGTTGTACCGGGGATCCTTAACTCAAATGTTGCTGACATTTTGCTCTCTGAGAGCTCTTGATCAATAAAATTCTTGAACTTTTAGTAAGAGAAAAAAAAAAAGTATTTGTGTAAGAGAAAAAAAAAAGTGTTTGTGTAAGAGAAAAAAAAAAAGTATTTGTTTGTATTATATTACAAGTATTAGAGGTTAGATCCATGCTTTCATTTTAATGATTGCAGAGCATCTAGAGTTAAAGGGATCGTAGTTAATGCATCTCCCATGTTCTTTAGTGGATCAAGTATACCAAGCATCTCTTATATATATATATATATATATATATATACTGTATAAAATATAAATCATGTACATCTTGACAAAGTTATGTATATATTTTATTAAATTTCCCACCGAAAGTGTAATAAACCTGCTTTGTGCTAATTCAAAAATTTTTTTTTGATAAATACTTTTTAAAAAGTGTATGAATCAAAATTTTTACTATTTATTCTTGATTGATAACATTTTTAGTCAACTAATTATACTAATAAAAAGATATTTATCAAGAGTAAGAGATAAAAGTTTAGACTCATACACTCTCAGGAGTAATTTTCTATTTTTTTCCAAAAAAAATGTTATTTCTACTATGGTGCAACTAAAACCGCAAGTTTTGGTCGGATTAAACGGGCCGGGTAGAAGCCCGCAACTGTTAGCCAAGATCCAACCCTAAATTTTATTTTTCTTTTAAAAAAAATGACAAATTGCCTTCCAAAGGTAATTAATTATAGAGGACCATTAATATTAACCCCAACTCTAAATTTAACAATCTGTTGTCTACAATTAAAATAATTTACTTTTTATTTTTTCTCTCTTTAACTTCAAGTTTAAAAATATCTTTAATTTTTTCGTTTAAATTCCGATTAAGATAATTTGTTTTCAATATGTTCATAATGAAAAGAAGAACAAATCCTCATCTATATTGCATATTTAAATGTGTCATTCATAATAAGGTTTTGTTAGAATACTTTAATGACAGTTTTCAATACTCTATTCAAATACAATTTGAATTTTATTTTCAATTCAAATTACAATTTATTTAGGTATCTAAATGAGTTGGAATCACATTTCAAATCACAGATTTTACAAACTAAATCAAATCACTATGATTCAAACAACGATCTTTATAATTATATATCAGCCATTTTTAGCAATCATATTAATAGAAAGTGAACACACGGTATAGGATCAACTCTATTAATATATATTAGCAGACCTCTGATAAATTTGGTCATATATTTAATTCTGGTGGAAGCAAGAGAGGATAAATTCCCAAATCAGACTTCACCTACCCCCACCAGACCCCACTATAGAAGGGTATGAGGTGTCCAAGATTTCCTTTGCTTTTGAATTTCTAATTTTCATCACGTCCTGTCGTGTATTTATCATATGTGTGTGTATATTATATATATATATATATATATATATATATATATTGGTTTGCTTTTTAAGCCAACCCAAACAGATCAGTTTTGTGTACCACCCACTATCTCTCTTCTCTTCTCATTCAGAAACAGTGATCATCTCTCAATCGGAAATAATGGGGAGCATCCAGGAGGAAAGAACAATTACAGGATGGGCAGCAAGGGACTCATCTGGTGTTCTCTCACCCTACAAATACACTCTTAGGTGACAATCACCAATCACTAATATTCATAAATGTATATTTATATATATATATATATATGTGGTCTAATTAATTATGTATTATGAAAAACATGACTACATGCAGAAACACAGGCCCGGAAGATGTGTACATCAAGGTCCTATGCTGTGGAGTTTGTCACACCGATGTTCACCAGGTCAAGAATGATCTCGGCATGTCCAACTATCCCATGGTTCCTGGGTACGTACATATATCAATATACATATACATATATATATACATATAATCTATTTCATGCACGGAGCCTAGTTATTCCCAGTAACCCACCACTCAACTTTTTTTTTTTTCAAGAAATTATATATACATAAATCGCTCCTACTAAACATTAAAACTGTAATTTTATAATCTCATTAATTACTATTATTTTTTAATTATTAACCTCCACTGACAAAATTTTCTGGACTCCTCACTGTGATAGGCATGAAGTTGTGGGGGAAGTGGTGGAAGTGGGATCGGAAGTGAGAAAGTTCAAAGTGGGAGATGTGGTGGGAGCAGGGTGCCTGGTGGGAAGCTGCAGAAACTGCAAGCCTTGCAAATCCGACAGCGAGCAGTACTGCAACAAGAAAATCTGGTCATATAACAGCGTCTACACCGACGGCAAACCCACTCATGGCGGATTCGCCGAGGCCATGGTCGTCGATCAGAAGTAAGCTACCTAACTAACAAATATATACATATATATATATATATATATGCATATGTATAATATTCTGACTCCTTTCGTTAATTAATTATCTATTCCGTTTGCTTTTCTTTACATAATCAATTAAAAATTCTATTTTAAAAAGAGTGTTATCATGATTTTTATTAGAAATAGAACTTATTGTTTTTAGTGTATCTAAAACATCAGATTATCTTAAACTAATTTTTAATTGAAATTATAAAAAAAAAAAAAGAGTTGAATTTAGAAGGGATAATTCAGGGATAGAATGAGTTTGGATTATTTTTGTCACTGTCACAATTATTGTGAATTATCAAGTATGACTTATGGTGCGTAGTGGTGTAAAAAAAGAAAAAAAATCAAAACTTGTATAATTTATAAAATATTTTTAGTGCTAGATAAAAAAATAAAATAAGACTAAGTACCAACTAACTTTGTTGGCCACGTTCTCATTAACTTAACTTTTAGTAAAATGAAGGGCTCTTTATACATTTAGCAAAATTTAAAATCAAAGGTGAGGTCATTTTCAAATAACAGAAACCTTCATATGTATGTTTTATGGGACTTTCTCTTGTGGGTCCATCGATAGGAACAGTTTTTAATTATTAGATTTTATTAAAATTAAAATCATATTATAGTAAAAAAAAAAAAAAAATGCAGAAGACTGTTTCTGACTATTTGAGTTTTCTTTTTCTTTTTCTTGTTGCGTACGTAAAGGTTTGTGGCGAAGATACCAGAAGGAATGGTGCCAGAGCAGGCGGCGCCACTATTGTGCGCTGGGGTGACGGTGTACAGCCCGTTGAAGCACTTCGGGCTGACACAGAGCATGTTGAAAGGAGCAATTCTTGGGCTTGGAGGTGTTGGCCACATAGGGGTGAAGATAGCCAAGGCAATGGGACACCATGTCACTGTCATAAGCTCCTCCGACAAGAAGAAAGAGGAGGCTCTTGACCATCTCGGCGCCGATGACTACCTCGTCAGCTCCGATGCCGCCAAAATGCAAGAGGCTTTCGACTCCTTCGACTACATAATCGACACCGTGCCGGTTTTCCACCCTCTTGAGCCTTATCTCTCGCTATTGAAGCTTGATGGGAAGCTCATCTTGATGGGTGTTATCAACAAGCCTCTTCAATTTGTCACCCCCATGGTCATGCTTGGTAAGTAGATTAGATTTAAAATTCTTTTTTTTTTCCTTTTCTTTTCCTTTTCTTTTCATATTATATTAATTGCTTGTTTTGGATCAAAATCTCCGATTACTTAAATCAAATTGGTAACATTATCTAGGGTGACTATCTCCTAATTATTAGAAATTAGGAAAATGTTTACATCTCGACGAAGTTTGGTGGGGATGTGAAAGATATGGCAGGCCCCACAAAGGATGACTCATCAAGTGGGGCTCACCAATGTTTGACGTTCCGGTCCAACCCTACGTAATTCCACTGGGATATAGTAGTAGCATTGCTCCAGAAGTTATTGTGTAATTACAAGATGAGTTAGAGGAACACCACAGTTAGAGAATTTACATTTATCACTTTAAAGAAAGCATTTAAGTTTAATTTACAAACAAGTGACAGGACTAAATGACTTTTCAAAAGTGGTATTGAGCCTAATTATTCATAAATTGTACCTCTTAACATAAAAATATGTGGGTCCTATTATAATTCTACATTGGCCGGAGATATTGGTATGATCCACTTAATAAGGTGAGGGCAATCATCCCTTAACAAGTCGGTTTTGTTAGGTTGAGTTAGGCTCAATATCCTTTGATTTTTGTAAAATGTCATAAATTAGTCGTGTGAGTTTGGTTAAACTATTAACTAAAAATTGACATAAAATTACAATTTTAAAAGCTAGACGCAGAATACATGCTTAGTTAAAAATGAGTAGTGATAATTTAAAAAAAAAAAAAAAAAGTGTAGTGGTGATCATTAATGATTAATTTGCTTATATTTTATTCAAGGGTGTAAGATTCAAATGGATAGTAATCTTTTTTCTTGATGGAATTGTGTGTGTATAGGGAGGAAGTCCATCACCGGGAGCTTCATAGGGAGCATGAAGGAGACAGAGGAGATGCTGGAGTTCTGCAAAGAGAAGGGATTAACTTCGATGATCGAAATCGTGAAGATGGATTATGTTAACAAAGCGATTGAGCGATTGGAGAAGAACGACGTTAGGTATAGGTTCGTTGTGGATGTCGCCGGAAGCAAGCTTGACGAGTGACCAAAAAACCAAAATGAAAAAAGAAGAGAAAAGGGAAAGTACTAATCAAGTTGAGTAACAAACAGTTTACATGCGTACAAAGTTGAAAAAGAGAGAAAAAGCTTTGTTTTCTTTTGTTCCAAGTTGCTTTGTTTGTTTAATATTTGGACAGTTCAATTATTGCGGTTTAATTATAAAATATGTGTTGCATTTGTGGTTTTGGTAGTGTGGTCACCAATCTATCACTTGGATTTGTCTGTCTCGTAATGAGAGTGAAAGGCCTCAAAATTTGGTCATGTCCAAAGGAAAAAAACCATGTTGCGCTCGTTGAGTGGATTTAATTTGGGTGAATTATGTGCGGTCTAAAGTCCATTCATTGAGAAATCCGAGGATGTGCTGTCGCATTCTTTAGTTAGTGTGGTGCCACTCATTGAAGGATTCTTGCTGTACTCCAATCTCTCACTGAAAAAATGCACCATATGAAATAAACCAAAAGGAACAGCCACAAACCACAATATAGGCATAGTTGATCTCTAATCTATTTAATAAGTGACACGTTGGTTTTCATTTACGAGTCCATATTAGTGAGCATATTCTAGTCTTTTCATAACAATCTGAGCTCAAGTAATGAGTCACTTACAGGAAATTATGACAAAATTAATGAAAATAGATAGAAAGGTTTTAATTATCAATGTTTAAATAGTTAGAAAATCGTTTTGTTAAAATTAAAAAAAATAGAAATGAAAGTAAAACCTACTAAAGGAATTTAGGACCACCAATGTCAATTATTCAATTGATTATCGTGAGGGCAAAAATGTGAAGCCGCAATTGTGTAGTTCGTTGTTTTTATATGATTATTGGAGTCCTTGTTTCTACCACCTAATGGCCTACCAAAGCATACATTTATGACTTTGTAAAACCGGAAATAATTAATTAGAAGTTGAAATGTCAAGAACATAAGAAGTTGAGACGACAAGTAACCATCAGCAGTAGTAAAGGAGGCGTCATTAGCACCAGAAATTGTTGTGGGAAAGTTTATCAGCAGTACTCGAATATGGACATCGACCTTTTAAGTTAAAAATAAAATGTGGTAGCAGATAATGGATAAATATATCTATCTGGTCCCCACCACCAAAGCTTTATTCTATATACGCATGTTCTGCAATAGCAGCTCCCCTTGTCCACTTAAGACTTCACCAACTCTTCTTAATATTCTAAACCTCACCAACAGCGCATGGATTTGAAAAGTACTCGCAACGTCTAGCCAAAAGGGGAATATAGAGAGAACTATATTTATAACTAAAAGAATAGTAAAAGAGATTTAACCATGACTTACAGTAAAAAATTTAAGTCAGCCAATTATTTACAAATTTAATCTAAATTTAGCCAACAATCCCTATTGCTTCGGTGGAAGATAATAAAATTGTGTAGCACAAGGGAGAATGTGTATTCTTTAAGAAATCGGGCATTAACTTAAAAGTTGTGGTGTTAACCTAGTTTGTTCTGTTTGAAATCATAAAAATAAATAAATAAATAAATAAAAAGAAAGAAAGAAAAAAATGACAACGACGACGACAACAAACCGAATCAAATCATGTATAATCATTTTGGTTTGGTTCAGTCAGTTTAAACTTAGACCTATGAACTTCATAATCTCCACTTTGAATGCCATTAGAACCTGTATGTCTCAACTTTCATTACTTCTTAACCAGCACTTGGTGATATTTTATTTTTATAACTACTTTTGACTTTCTTTCTTTATAGTTCTTATATAGACAAGTTTGAGAGCTTGTATTTGTCCATTCAGAAAGATGAATAATGAAAAAAACTGTTAATCCATTTCTCTTTCTCACGTCTCTCTATTCTTATTCATGCTTAGCGATTTATTTTTATAACAAGAGACATTTTTAGAGGGCAGAAATAGCAAACCCTTGAAGGAGTCAACAACTATAAGATTTGTCAAAAATATGTTTTGGTACAGAAAATAGATTTAACATGGGGGGTGTGGAAATCATTACATTCCATACAGCTCTTTTGATCAATATTCCGAACACCCAAAAAACAAAAAACACTTGGACGCCCTCTCTCATAGTCTTCATTCATCGTGGTGAAAGGGGCCCACACAAATATAGAAGCCTTCTATTTTCTCCATGTGGGACCATCTACCCTCTCTCACTTTTTAGATAGGATAGAAACAATCAAGCGTCCTAAAACTCTTTTTCTACTTTTCCATGTTGTCTCTGAATTAGTTCACCCACCTCAATTATGTGTTCTTTTCAAGTGTCGGGTTCTAATAAATCATAAACGATGACTGAAGTAGATGTTAATAAAATATCTTGACGGATTGAAGCCAATCAAAATAACTGCCAAGTGAAAAAAAAAAAATCTCCGTTAAGCTGTAATATAAACAAAGCAAAAACAAGTTCAAGAGTATAATGCAAAACTTAAGACTTACAGATGGGAGAAAGGACGATGACAACACCAATTGGATATAGGAAAAAGGCTGTCTTCTCAAGAAAGGGTAGGACTGCAGAAAGAAGTTACGTTAGGCGCACAAAGTTCTGACGCTTATCTACGCAAATACGAATACAAATACATATAAAATAATACTATTTGTGTATATGCAGCTATATGTATATAAACAATTTAGTAAGTGGAGGTTCAATTCTACGAAGTATTAAAGATGAATAAACAGGAATATGTTCTATTAAGCCAACTTCTTCGTCGAGGAGTCACAGGACCTGAACTTAAAAACAAATGCTGGGACAAACGCAGACTTTTGTCTAGACTCTAGATGGTGGACGCTTAGCTAGGTAGAATGAATAACTGCTGTAACAGAATTCAACAGAGAGTTAAATTTAATTCGAAAACCATGCTATTTAAAGGGTCTAACGTATGGATAAAGAAAACTTGCTTTCTAGGGAAATTCACAAAAAGAAACAACTCTTACAAACTATCTTAATCATAATTAACCAAATTATCTGCCATAAAACGGCAACTTATCCACTAGGAACAAAAGCTCTATCTTACCATCATAGCCTAAGAAGTTGAGATAATGATAGTATGAAGCAGCGACCATGAATAGCAAATTTGATAGCAGTACAGGAATGAAACCATGAGCTATCAGAAGAGGTGACAAAAAATAGTGGATCACTGCAAAGCCGGGACAGCAATAACGTTATGGTACATTACTCGAAGTGAAAAGTATGAAAGAAAGATGAAATATTACTGCTGTTCTTACCGTAAAGCATCACAAACATCGGAAAGAAAGAGTTGCAGTGCACATCAAATGCATACAGCCTTCAGCAACCGCAAAAGAACAAAGGATAATTTCAGAACCAAAAACAATTGAATTAGATGATAACTGTAAATCACAGAAAATAAGGACGAAGATTTCTTTAAGGAGAAAAGAAAAAGAACATATTAAAGAAACAGATAGAAAAGATTTAGTTTAACAAAAAAATTATTCACATTTACAACAGAAAATATTCACTGTTTGATGACATAGATTCGAGAGAAACCAAATTCAGTTGTGCAGACAGGATCAGAAAGCTATTTTAAGTTAAAAAGGATTTAACACTTGCCATTCAACTCGTTGCTCTACCACGTGACTGTTTGGAGCCTCTTCCCGGAGGTAAGAATTAGTGATGAACCTGCATTAACAATGAGTATATTGCAATTATGCAGGATCACTAAAAATCAGGATTCAGCCAAGCATAAAAAAGAATTGAACTTCCATAAAGAACTGAAAATTTCCATAAGCTCTAGAATTTTTATTTAGGCAGGAATTTTCATCAAGTAGCCTGATCTGTATATCTTGCAAATTGAATACATACTCGATTTGAATGCATAAATCACCAATAAATAAGTTACACGGTTAGCTATCATGGAAGCGATTACTAAACTAATAAGCAACAATCTCCAGGATTTTAAATCCCTTACCAACAAAATGTCGCAAGAAGTATCCCCATTATTAAAAAATGGAAAAGCAACACTGAAATAACTACAAAAACAGCATGTCCAGCACTATGATCGTACCTGAAATAAGTAAATACAGCAACATAAGATACAAAACAATTCAGCGGTTCTTGAGGAACTTGGTAACTTAGAAAAGTGACATTTTACAAGCGCATAAAAGAACTATTACTCAATGAGAGACTTTTTGGTATTTAATAAGAAACCATGACTAGCACCAAGTTTTGACCAAGAGATTTTTAATTTTTAAACTTTAGGAAAAAGTTAAAAGATCCTAAATGTAATTTTGATTCTCAAAGGATATGAATATAGGTAATTGACCCAGTAAAATAGATCTATTTCTCAAGTCCCATGACCAGATAAATGGTGGTAAATATTATCTGCTTTAGCAAGCTAGACTATAGATAGATACTAACTCATGAGTTTCCATTCCTCAAGCTCTGTGACCAGATAAAAGATCTCCTCTACCAAGCTAGATAAATATAACAGGTACCGGTCTTATCCTGTAGTAAACCCTAGTCAACAGTAAGTAAACAATAAACTTACGCAGCGCAATATGCCATTGTTGCCACTGCCAGTAGAAGGCTACAGATCACAACAAAAGCAGGGTCATCACGTGCCCATTGATTCTTAGTTTCTGCAACAAGAGGGGAAAAAAAGTTAAGGAACACACCTAGAGAGTACAGGATCAATTTCAAAAGCTCGCACTTAGACAAAAGAAGAAGTCCACAGGCATTCAAACTACACATATGACATTTGTGAACACAACTAAAATAAAATTGTGAAACGCATTTGATCCCGGTCAAATATCCTAATACCTACAGTAACTTTTTGCATAGTAATAAATGGAAGTAGTTTCTGCCTCCCGGACTTACCTATATCTAACAAGATAAAACATGTTCAACGTAATTTCTCATGTTCCATGGTGAGGCTAGACAGCTAGATATATCATCATTGGGAAGAAAAGCAAACATAACATGACATCAAATACTTAACATACTATATAGCAACCAACGAGATGAAAATTCAAAACAAAAAACGTGTTTGAGAGTCTCATTCAATCAAGAAATAACTTATCCCATTCGATATAGCACATCAATGTGTGGTAAAAACCAAAACATACAACACATTTGAGAGTCTGGTTCAAACAAGAAATAAGGCATACTTCTTGCAATTTTACAACATCAAGACCACAAGGTTGGGTTTATAGCTATAGTTACTGTAATATTTTTGTGACCTATTGTTACGGCAACATAAAATTCATCACAAACCGAATCCAGACATAAAAGAACTAACTGAAGAAAAATAAATGATGAATACAGCTCAAAGCATTAGAATTGCATTGCAAAGGTGTGATCCTGAAGATATTCAAGGACAGAGGACTTACGTTTGTGATACTTGGTGTGCTGATAACTTCATTCACAGCAAAGTTCACATGCAAGGCACAAAATTCAACAATAAATAATAAGATATTCATCTCCCAAAGAAAATTCAACAACTAAATTCACGATGAAAAGAAAATTCAACTATATTCATGATGAAAATATTAATGACAGAAAAAAAAAAAAAAACAATTATGAGGATGATAATCCAAATAATTGGACTTACACAACTTTTGGAGAGGTACATAAATGAAGCATTTGCCAAAAGGTATATTCAATATCCATTTGTTGCCACTGCAAATAAACCAAAAAAGAAAAAGGGATTGTTGAGGTAAGCAAACAGATAAATCAGCAAATACGGAAGTGCAAAAAGAGCATAGTACTAAAACAACTAACAAAATACACAATGCTGCAGCAGAAGCTGCTGCCAAAATCGTAGCTCCAAAGTTGTACTCCGTGGCAGTGTGAACAAATAAAAGACATAAAAAGACAACCACACAGTTCAGGAGCAGAAAAAGCTGCTTGTACAGAATTTTACACCTGCAAGGTCACCGTCAACGGATTCATACTCTCTAATTTTTTTATTTTTTACTTTTTTTAGGGGGGTGGAGGAGGAGGTGCAACGAGAGCAGCATTGGGCTTCCACCATTCTTAGCACAAAATGTAAAAACATAGATACTTCCTCAGCAAACACTTGAACCTACAACTGTATTATCAAACAGAAGTTGGACTGTGAGTGATGAACAATTCAAATTTGTATAGTTATATGTTATTTATCTTTAGTATTTAATTTAAAGTTTAGACTCATTTAGAATGCAGTTATGTTCATCTTATTATTTTGATTTCTCTATAAATAGCTTAGTGACTATAATTTCCTTCTCTTGAGTTCCTTCTCTTCTCCTAAACACTTTTGCTTCGTTTATTTCACCGATTCAAGTTTTCAATTTTAGGTTTCTACAGTTAAAAACTCTCAGAAAATATCGCATCTAACTTTTTCTGCTACAGTTAAAAGCTCTCAGAAATTATCACATCTCAGCTCGGATTGAAAACTCGAATCTGCAAAGCGAATGAGGCCTTTGTTTCTTCCTATGATTCTATCTCTATCTCTCTTGAGGTTCTCTTTTTCTTCTAGATTCTCTCTTCTCCATCTAACTTCTCTCTCTTTCTTGGATTCGATCCATCTTGGTCCACATCTTGGATGCCTACAAGATCATGACTAATCATGAAAAATGGACTCACAAGATCCAGGGTCTTATTGACGTGAGAAAATCCAACTCATGAATCTGAAAAGCTTATTTAACCAGAGATTTCTATTCATAAACATCCAAGCTAGATCACTAAGGTAAAAAGCTAAAGTCTTAGAGAGAGGGAAAAAAATGCCCACGCCTCTAACTGGTTAAAAGAAAATCTCCAGGACTCTAAGAAATGACAATAGAGTTCATCACTGGCCAGCCCCAGAACGGAGGATAATCCAACACCACTGTGTCTTGTGGTGCAAACTATAAAACTATTCCTTCGGATTAAAACTCCCTATTCAAAAACTGTAAAATTGCCAAATTAATTTTGAATTCAGTAAAGAAAACCACATCCCTAACTCTGTTCATCAACTAATAATTTCTATCAAGAACTTAATTCTCCACGCATCAGATGAAGGAAAATCAAAGCGTTCCTCGCGAATCTCACATTTAGCGCAAACGCCATTTTACTCCAAACACAAGGAACACCTAAATTCTCCAAACTACACAACAAACCAGCAACAATTTAAGAAAATTGAATTATATAGCAGAATATTGTAAGGTTGTGCACCAGAAGACCTAATCCTACAAACTAACATACACGTAGAACAATGGTTCGAGACGTCAAGTCCACCATTTCCGCTCCGAATTCGATCAAATCCGTAAGCACGAGCGCGTAAGAGAAACAGAAATTAAAGAAAATGGAGCTGAAATCTCAACAGATATCAGATCCGCCATGAGAGAGAGAGAGAGCACCTTGATTATTCGGCGAAGATACTGAACGAACATTGGGTTACTTCGAGATGTAGAGGACGACGACCGCACTTTCGAGACCGTCGGCAACATCTCTCTTTGTCTCCCTCGTCTTCTTCTTCTTCTTCGATTCCTAGCACCTCCAATGGCTAACCGGAGATCTCTAGAATTTCACCAGAAGCTCTCTTTGCGTCCCCCGTGCTTCAAATGGCAGGTAGCAAACTTTAGGACGACGACTTCGTCTTCATCGTTCTCTTCGTTTCTAAGGCCCAACTTTACCAAATTATGAAGCAGCCCAGTTCATTTTTGTGAAGGCCCTTTAGAGAAATGATAGGAAACCAAGTATTGATTGATTTGTGCAAAGAGAAAAGGGTGATTTAGACCTGTGACCAAATTACACATCTAGAATTGAAATATGGCTTATGTTTGAGAACATGGTCTAATTGTATAATAATATTTAAATAAAGTATTATTTATGTTTTACATTCCAAAATTAATATACGATTTTTAAGAATTAATGCAATAAGCGGCACCATTTTTTTTTATAAATATTCTATTTTTTATGTTTTTCTTTATTTTTCATCTTTAAAAAATAAAATAAAATAAAAACGACGTCAAAACATTATGAAATTTTACAGACACGATCCTTACATTTTTCATGCCTACAAAAAAAGGACTCAAAAATGAAAAAAAGAAAAACACTGTATAAAAGCCCCTGGCCCGCGTAGTGGGGCGCCCATGAGCGGGGATGGGTAAAAAATTTACATTTTTATTTATGTTTTACATTCTAAAATTAATACATGATTTTTAAGAATTAATGCAATAAGCGGCACAATTATTTGATCAATATTATATTTTTTATGATTTTCTCTATTTTTTGTCTTTGAAAAATAAAATAAAAACGAAGTCAAAAAATTCTGAAATTTTGCAAACATGATACTTACATTTTTCTAGGCATGCCTGCAAAAAAATGGCCTTAAAAATGACAAAAAAACAAAACGTTGTCAAAAAGCCCCTGGCCCGCATAGTGGGGCGCCTAGGGGCCGGGGTGGGTCAAAAATTTACATTTTTATTTATGTTTTATATTCTAAAATTAATATACGATTTTTAAGAATTAATGCAATAAGAGGCACTATTTTTTAATGAATATTCTATTTTTTATAATTTTATTTATTTTTCATATTTGAAATATAAAATAAAATAAAAATGACGTCAAAATATTATGAAAATTTTCATACACCATCCTTAGGTTTTTCTTGGTGTCCCGACAAAAAATGGCCTCAAAAAATGATAAAAAAAGTAAAACGCTGTCAAAGCCCCCGACCTACGTAATGTGTCGCCCAGGGGCTGGAATGGGTTAAAATTTAATTTTTTTATTCATGTTTTTCATTCTAAAATTAATATATGATTTTTAGGAATTAAAGAAACAAGCGGCACCATTTTTTGATGAATATTCTATTTTTTATGATTTTCTTTCTTTTTCATATTTGAAAAATAAAATACAAACGACGTCAAAAAATTATGAAAGTTTGCAGACACGATCCTTACATTTTTCTGGGCATGCGTGCAAAATATGGATTAAAAAATGATAAAAAAAAAGTAAAATGCTGTTAAAAAGCCCCCAGCCTGCGTGGTGGGGCGCCCAGGGGCCGGGATGGGTCAAAATTTTAAATTTTTTACTTATGTTTTGCACTCTAAAATAAACATACCATTTTTAGAAATTAATACAACAAGCGGAACTATTTTTTTGATGAATATTCTATTTTTTATGATTTTTTTTATTTTTCATCTTTAAAAAATAAAATAAAATAAAACTGACGTTAAAAAATTATGAAATTTTACAGACACCATCCTTACATTTTTCTGGGCGTGCCTGGAAGAAATGGCCTAAAAAATGATTCAAAAAAAGTAAAATGCTGTCAAAAAACCCCCAACCCACGTAGTGGGGCGCCGAGGGGCTGGGATGGGGCAAAAATTTAAATTTTTTATTCACGTTTTGCATTCTAAAATTAATATACGAATTTTAAGAATTAATGCAACACGCGGCACCATTTTTTTTTATGAATACTCTATTTTTAATGATTTCTTTACTTTTCATCTTTGAAAAATAAAATAAAATAAAAACGACATCAAAAAATTATGAAATTTTGCGGACACGATCTTTACATTTTCTAGGCGTGCCTGCAAAATATGGCCTAAAAAATAATAAAAAAATGTAAAATGCTGTTAAAAAGCCCCCCGGCCCGCGTAGTTGGGAGCCTAGGGGCTGGGATGGGTCAAAAATTTAAATTATTTATTTATGTTATGCATTTTAAAATTAATATACGATTTTTAGAAATTAATGCACCAAGCGGCACTATTTTTTGATGACTAATCTATTTTTTTATGATTTTCTTTATTTTTTAACTTTGAAAAATAAAATAAAATAAAAACGAAGTCAAAAAATTCTGAAATTTTGGAGACACCATCCTTACATTTTTCTAGGCGTGCCTGCAAGAAATGGCCTCAACAAAAGTAAAACACTGTCAAAAATCTCCCGACCTGCATATTGGGGCGCCTAGGGGCCGGGATAGGTCAAAAATTTAAATTTTTTTTCATGTTTTGCATTCTTAAATAAATATACGGTTTTTAGGAATTAATGCGACAAACGGCTCCATTTTCTTATGAATATTCTATTTTTTATGATTTTCTTTACTTTTCATCTTTGAAAATTAAAATAAAATAAAAATGATGTCATAAAATTATGAAATTTCGCAGACACGATCCTTACATTTTTCTTTACATGCTAGCAAAAAGTGGCCTTAAAAATGACAAAAAAAGTAAAACTCTGTCAAAAAGCCCCCGACCCGCGTAGTGGGGTGCCCAGGGGCCAAGATGGGTCAAACATTTATATTTTTCGTTGTTTTTCATTCTAAAATTAATATACAATTTTTAAAAATTAATGCAACAAGCAGCACCATTTTTTTATGAATATACTTTTTTTAATATTTTCTCTATTTTTTGTCTTTAAAAAATAAAATAAAATAAAAATGACGTCAAAGAATTCTGAAATTTTGCAGACATGGTCCCTACATTTTTCTCAGCATGCCTGGAAAAAATGGCCCTAAAAATGACAAAAAAAAAGTAAAACGTGGTCAAAAAGTCTCCAGCCCACGTAGTGGGGCGCCAGGGGCTGGGATGGATCAAAAATTTATATTTTTATTTATGTTTTACATTCTAAAATAAATATATCATTTTTCAGAATTAATGCAACAAGCGACATTATTTTTTGATGAATATTCTATTTTTTATGATTTTCTTTATTTTTTGTCTTTGTAAAATAAAAGAAAATAAAAACGATGTCAAAAAATTATGAAATTTTATAGCCACTGTCTTTATATTTTTCTGGCCATGCCTGTAAAAAATATCCTCAAAATATGACAAAAAAATGAAACACTATCAAAAAGCCCCCGGCCAGCGTAGTGGGGCGTCCAGGGGCCGGGACGTGTCAAAAATTTATATTTTTATTTATGTCTTACAATCTAAAATTAATATACGATTTTTTAAAATTAGTGCAACAAGCGACACTATTTTTGGCTGAATATTATATTTTTTATGATTTTCTCTATTTTTCATCTTTGAAAAATAAAATAAAATAAAAATTACGTAAAAAAATTCTGACATTTTACACACATGATGCCTACATTTTTGTAGGCATGCCTACAAAAAAATGGGGTTAAAAATTGACAAAAAAAATAAAATGCTGTTAAAAAGCCCTCGACTCGCGTAGTCAGGCGCCCAGGAGCCGGGATGGGTTAAAAATTTATATTTTTATTTATGTTTTACATTCTAAAATTAAAATATGATTTTTCATAATTATGCAACAAGTGACACCATTTTGTGACGAATATTCTATTTTTATGATTTTCTTTATTTTTCATCTTTGAAAAAAAAAATAAAATAAAAGCGACGTCAAAAAGTTTTAAAATTTTATAGACACTATCCTTACATTTTTCTCGGCGTGCCTGATAGAGATGGCCTTAAAAAATGACAAAAAAAGCAAAATGCTGTCAAAAAACCCCCCGACCCGCGTATTGGGGTGCCCAGAGGCCGGGATGGGTGAAAAATTTAAAAATTTAAATTTTTTATTCATGTTTTGCATTCAAAAATTAATATATGATTTTTAGGAATTAGTGCAATAAACAGAACTATTTTTAGATGAATATTCTCTTTTTTATGATTTTCTATATTTTTCATCTTTAAAAAAAATAAAAATAAAAAATACGTCACAAAATTATGAAATGTTGCATACACGTTGTTTACATTTTTTTGGGCGTGCTTACAAAAAATGGCTTAAAAAATGGTAAAAAAAGGTAAAATGTGTCAAAAAGCCCCCGACCCGTGTATTTGGGCTCCTAAGGGCCGGGGTGGGTCAAAAATTATATTTCTATTTATATTTTGCATTCTAAAATTAACATACGGTTTTTTGGAGTCAATGCAATAAACGACACTATTTTTTTATAAATATTCTATTTTTTATTATTTTCTTTATTTTTCATCTTTGAAAACTAAAATAAAATAAAACAGACGTCAAAAAATTATGAAATTTTGCAGATAATATCCTTACATTTTTTTGGGAGTGCCTACAAAAAATGACCTCAAAAAATGACAAAAAAAAGTAAAACACTGTCAAAAACCCCTGACACGCGTAGTACGGCACCCAGGGGCCGAGATGGGTGAAAAATTTACATTTTTATTTATGTTTTCCATTCTAAAATTAATATACAATTTTTAGGAATTAATGTAATAAGCAGCACCATTTTTTGATGAATATTCTATTTTTATGATTTTCTTTATTTTTCATCTTGGAAAAATAAAATAAAATAAAAACGACGTCACAAAATTATGAAATTTTACAGACAAGATCGGTACATTATTCTGGGCATGCTTGTATAAAAACTAGCCACAAAAATTGTAAAAAAAAGTTAAACACTGTCAAAAAGTCACCAACCCGCGTAGTGGGACGTCCAGGGGCCGGGATGGGCCAAAAATTTTAATTTTTTATTATGTTTCACATTCTAAAGTAATACGATTTTTAGAAATTAATGAAACCAGCGGCACCATTGATTGATGAATATTCTATTTTTATAATTTTCTTTATTTTTTTCATCGTTGAAAAATAAAATAAAATAAAAATGACGTCAAAAATTTATGAAATTTGGTAGACACCATCCTTACATTTTTCTGGGCATGCCTACGAAAAATAGCCTCAAAAAATGAGAAAAAAGTAAAACGCTGTCAAAAAGCCCCCGACCAGCGTACTG